AAGAAAGGTAAAAACGCAACTGAAACGCACAAAAAGATTTGTGCAATGTATGGAGAAGGTGCTGTAACTGATCAAACGTGTCAAAAGTGGTTCACAAAGTTTTGTACTGGAGATTTCTTGCTGGACAATGCTCCACTGTCGGGTAGACCAGTTGAAGTTGATAGCGATCAAATTAAAACAGTAATTGAGAACAGTCAGCGTTATACCATGCAGGAGACAGCCGACATACTCAAAATATCCAAATCAAGCACTGAAAATCATTTGCACCAGCTTGGTCACGTTAATGGCTTTGATGTTTGGGTTCTCTGTAAGTTAAGCGGAAAAAACGTTCTTGACCACATTTGTGCATGTGATTCTCTACTGAAACATAATGAAAGCGTTCCATTTTTAAAACAAATTGTGATTGGCGAAGAAAAGTGGTTACTATACAATAATGTGGAAAGGAAGAGATCGTGGGGCAAGCGAAATGAACATCCAACAACCACACCAAAGGCCGGTCTTCATCCAAAGAAGGTGATGCTGTGTATATGGTGGGATTGGAAGGGAGTCCTCTATTATGAGCTCCTTGCAGAAAACCAAACTATTAATTCCAACAAGTACTGCTCCCAATTAGACCAACTGAAAGCAGCACTCGATGAAAAGCTTCCAGAATTATCAACAGAAAACACATAATCTTCCATCAGGATAATGCAGGACCTCATGTTTCTTTGATGACCAGGCAGAAACTGTTACAGCTTCACTGGGAAGTTCTGATTCATCTGCTGTATTGACCAGATATTGCACCTTCGGATTTCCATGTATTTTGGTTTTTACAATATTCTCTTAATGAAAAAAAATTCAATTCCCTGGAAGACCGTACAAGGCACCCGAAACAGCTCCTTGCTCAAAAATATAAAAAGTTTTGGGAAGATGGAATTATGAAGTTGCCTGAAAACTGTCAGAAGGTAGTGTAAAAAAAATGGTGAATAAGTTGTTCAATAAAGTTCTTGGTGAAAATGAAAAATGTGCCTTTTATTTTTACTTAAAAAACGAAAGGCACTTTTTGGCTCACTGAATAATAAAGGCCATATATGACAAACCCACGGCAAACATCATTCTCAATGGTGAAAAACTGAAAGCCTTTCCACTAAGATCAGAAACCAGACAAGGATGTCCACTCTCACCACTATTATTCAACATAGTTTTGGAAGTCCTAGCCATGGCAATCAGAGAAGAAAAAGAAATAAAAGGAATACAAAATGGAAAAGAAGTAAAACTGTCACTGTTTGCAGATGACATGATACTATACATAGAAAATCCTAAAGTTGCCACCAGAAAACTACTAGGGCTAATCAATGAATTTGGTAAAGTTGCAGGATACAAAATTAATGCACAGAAATCTCTTGCATTCCTATTCACTAACAATGAAAAATCAGAAAGAGAAATTAAGGAAACAATCTCATTTACCATCGCAACACAAAGAATAAAATACATAGGGATAAACCTACCTAAGGAGGCAAGAGACCTGTACTCAGAATACTATAAAACACTGATGAAAGAAATCAAACCTGACACAAACAGATGGAGAGATATACCATGTTCTTAGATGGGAAGAATCAATATTGTGAAAATGAACATACTACCCAAAGCGATCTACAGATTCAATGCAATCCCTATCAAATTACCAATGGCATTTTTCACAGAATTAGAAAAAAAGATTTTACAATTTGTATGGAAAACAAAAGACCCTGAATAGCCAAAGCAATCTTGAGAAAGAAAAGCAGAGCTGGAGGAATCAGGCTCTCCAACTTCAAACTATACTACAAAGCTACATTAATTAAGACAGTATTGTATTGGCACAAAAACAGAAATATAGATCAGTGGAACAGGATAGAAAGCCCAGAGATAAACCCACGCACCTATGGTCACCTAAACTATGGCAAAGGAGGTAAGAACATACAGTGGAGGAAAGACAATCTCTTCAATAAGTGGTGCTGGGAAAACAGGACAGCTACATGTAAAAGAATGAAATTAGAACACTCCCTAACACCATACCCAAAAATACACTCCAAATGGATTAAAGACATAAATGTAAGACTGGACACTAGAAAACTCTTAGAGGAAAACATAGGAAAAACACTCTTTGACATAAGCCACAGCAAGATCTTTTTTGACCCCATCTCCTAGTGTAAGGAAAATAAAAACAAATGGGACCTGATAAAACTTAAAAGCTTTTGCAGAGCAAAGGAAACCATAAACAAGATGAAAAGACAATCTTCAGAATGGGAGAAAATACTTGCAAACAAAGCAACAGACGAATGATTAATCTCCAAAATACACAAACAGCTCATGCAGCTCAATATCAAAAAAAAAAAACAAAAAACCCAATCAAAAATGGGCAGAAGACCTAAATAGATATTTCACCAAAGTAGACATTTCACCAAAGTAGACATACAGATGGCCAAGAGGCACACGAAAGGCTGATCAATATCACTAATTATTGGAGAAATGCAAATCAAAACTACAATGAGGTATCACCTCACACCGGTCAGAATGGCCATCATCAAAAAATCTACAATTAATAAATGCTGAAGAGGGTGTGGAGAAAAGGAACCTCCTTGCACTGCTGGTGGGAATGTAAATTGATACAGCCTCTATCGAGAACAGGATGGAGGTTCCTTAAAAAACTAAAACTAGAAATACCATATGACCCAGCAATCCCACGACTGGGCATATACCCTGAGAAAACCATAATTCAAAAGGACACATGCACCCCAATGTTCATTGCAGCACTATTTACAATAGCCAGGACATGGAAACAACCTAAATGTCCATCGACAGATGAATGGATAAAGAAGATGTGGTACGTATATACAATGGAATATTACTCAGCCATGAAAAGGAACGAAACTGGATCATTTGCAGAGATGTAGATGGACCTAGGGTTTGTCATACAGAGTGAAGTAAGCCAGAAAGAGAAAAATAAATATCATATATTAACACATGTACATGGAATCTAGAAAAATGGTACAGATGAACCTATTTGCAGGGCAGGAGTAGAGATGCAGACGTAGAGAACAGACATGTAGAAACGGAGGAGAAGGAGAGGGTGGGACGAATTGGGAGATTAGGAATAACATATATACAACCATGTGTAAAATAGATAGCTAGTGGGAACATGCTATAACGCACAAGAAGATCAGCTCAGTGCTCTGTGATGACCTAGATGGGTGGGATCGGGGGTGGGAGGGAGGTCTAAGAGGAAGGGGATATATGTATACATATAGCTGACTCATTTCGTTGTACAGTAGAAACTATCACAATATTGTAAAGCAGTTACACTCCAAAAAAAAAAAATTTTTTTAAATACACACAGGAAAACAATGCTACATCTTCCTAAAAGCCACCCTCATACTTAAAGACATACCAGACACATTAGAATGGAAGGGAGGGAGTGAGAATGGAGACAAGGGAAGAGAGGAGAGCGTCCTTGTTCTGATCAGTGATTACAAGGTGCTATGAAGTCACTGGGGAATATTAACTCCATTCTGTGCACTTGAGAACAATATAAAAGGACATTCAAATGGGTTAATAATGTAAGTTGATCAGGAAAGATCTCCCTGAAGAAATGGCATTTCAGTTGAGACTTGAAGGATAATTGTTATTGATCTCGAGTAGTAGATTTTCCTTCATTTCTACGTTCAGAGGAACTATTGGACTCAGTGTCAGGACAGCAGCATCCTTCCTGGGTCAGCCAGACTCATCTCGAACTCAGCTAATTTCAAACAATGCTCTAACCTCCAAATCTCTATTTTGTCTTACATTCTAAATAAAAATATTTTAAAAGTTAGTTTTCAGTCAGATCTGTGTCAGAGTTTAGATCTTACTGACTGTGCATGTGTTGTTGTTGTTCAGTGGATATTATAAGCTCAGAGAGGTTTCTATTCTCCAAGAAGAATGATCTCCTCACACCCACCCTCCACACCCCTAGGTTTGTTCCTCTTTTGTGTTTAATGAGACTTTGACGTTCAAAGGGGTTCTGTTTTTTAGCATGTTATATCCTGTTCTCTTCTGATAAATATGTTTTCAGAATGTAATATCACTTCATGTTTGCATAGCTTAACTCCTCAGCTAGAAAAATAACAGCAGTAAATACATGTACCTGGTAACGCGAGGACAGGCATTCAATTTCTAATACATTCTAATACATCTAATACATGTATACCCTCCCTATAACCCCCGTTAATAATAAAAATGTACAGAAGATTATTCAAATACCTGAGTTTTTTTTTAATACTTGTACAGAGGAGTACATAGGACGATGAGTATATTAAAATGTAATCCAAAGTAGCCATATGATTGACTGATACCATGTGTACTGTATCTTTTTCTGATTTAATAAAAAGTACATTTACATCTGAAAAAAAAAAAAAGGTGGGGGACTTCCCTGGTGGCGCAGTGGTTAAGAATCTGCCTGCCAGTGCAGGGGACACGGGTTTGAGCCATGTCCTAATACAATTTCTAATACATTCAATTTCTCTCATTTCTCAAGATCGCTTCGTACAACCTGACCATATTATAGGGGCTTAAGAATGTCAAATGAAGCAACCTTCGTTTCCAAGTTCTTTTATTCACATATACCTCAATTGGATACATACGGAAACAGTCACAATCATCAAAATCCTGGCTGAAGGATAGCAGCTATTCTCAGACTGCCTCCATTTATTACAGTTCTCCAGACTGACATTAGTACCATAAGGACCCTAAGCAAGCAATGTTTCCCTTTTTCCTGCCTCCGGACTCCTTGAATCTGTGGCTGTGGGACAGGAAGACCCTTTTCCTGCCGGTCCATTGCATGTGGTAAAGAGGGAAGGAATAATTTCCTGTCAAAGGGAAGAAGACTCTCTTTGAACCTAGAAGCCCCTTCCGGTCTGGACTGGAGCCTGGACCTGTAGGGAAAGGCCTTCCTCCCCCACGCCAGTTTTTGCATGTACACATGAAAGAAATCACTGTGTCCTTACCTGGAGCATCTCTGCCTTGAGTCATGGAGGAATCCAGCCTGATTACCGTCACTAACAAAGCCACCACCCAGGGAACCCAGCTAGAACCCATTCTGGAAGAAAACAAGCGAGACAGAAAAATCGTCCACCTCTTCAGAATGGGACTTGCCCACACACAACTTAGTCAAAAATATTCATGAATAATAGAGATACCTTTCTGGCCTCCCCAGGATTGGAAACTCCTCACATGGATAACCAATCAAGACAGAGAGGCTTTGTGTCATTAGGTGCTGGGTAGAATACTTTCATAAAGTAGTTACCACTCAAGAACTGTTTACCTGCGGAATCACTGGCAGCAGTTTAGGTACATGGAAACCGGCTAGGAGAAAAAGGTATGTGGTCTTAGAAGAACTGGGCAGATGGTTTATCATGGATCTTACTATCCTCATATAGCACTGTCCCTGGCCTGCTGTGACTAATAGATCTCCATGCCGATGGGGTCGTTCACATTGCCTACAGAGAGTGTGTAAATAAAGAAGATAGTAGACAGCATTTTGAAGCATGGACCTTATGAGGAGTTAGGGAAAGGATTACCAGAGAAGAAATTGAAGAGACTGAGAATTGCCTGAAGAGGATTTCCTGTAAAGCAAGACAGGGGGAAGAAAAAAAAAAAAAAAAAAAAACATGGAGAGAGGATTCTCAAAAGAATAAAATGCTGCAAAAATGGCTAAAAGGATAAAAGAAAAGAAAGCATTATTGCGTTTTATAAGTAATGGGGCACCAAAAACCTTCAATGGAACAGAGTGTAAAAGGTAGAAGCAATATTTCAAAAAGGTAAAGAGTGGATTAAAATGAGAAAATGAAGGCAGGAGATGTAAGCAGTGCTTCGTGAATTTTGGAAGTGAAAACAAGGGAAAAGATGAGACTCTCTCTTGAGAGAAAAGCAACACTAAGGAAAAATTGCTTTTAAGCTAGAAAAGATCTTCCTAAGTTTCTGAGTCAAGTGAAAGTCAACTGTACTTAGGATAAATTGAAGATAAAAAGGACAAGAAAAGAGAAATTACTCTCCAAATGTTGATCGGAATCCAAATAATTGTCACACATGGCAATAAAAAGAGAAAAACTTTTTCAGATACATGAATGAAATAGGAAGGTTTGGGGTGATAGAGGGGAATGAGGAAGTTCCAGTTGTGTGGCTTCACTAAACTCAGTTTAGAACAAGGCAAGATCTTCTGCTAAAAAGAAACTGGAAAAAAAAAATTTGATAACTAAGGAGAGCAAGACTCCTTTTTTGCCAAAGTGGTCTGTAAGTGCATTATCATTTAATTAGCATCACGCTCTATGGCCCAATATTGTGGACAGTGCAAGATGAAACAGACATGTTTCTTGTCCTCAAGAAATGTAAAACCTGGGTGGAGTGACAGGGAAACAATCCACTGTAATGTCAGGAAGAATCAAATCAACATTGTAATGCTTGAGCACACAAGAAGAGGAAATTCTAACCATCTAAGAAAGAGTTCATGATGAAATTGATAAAGTTGATATTTGATACATGTGGCCAAGAGAGAATTTTATAATTCCACATATGTGCATGTGGACAAAAGAGAGGAAATAAACAGTTAAACAAAAAGTGTATCTGGAATTCCTTAAAAATTACTGATTAGCCAAAATAAATATGTATATATATTTTATACACACACACACACACACACACACACACACACACACACACTACTTCATTGAATGAAAAGATACAATAGAATTTTTTTCTCCTTCATTTCCCTAAAGGAACACATGCTTTGATGGATGCGTAATATGGGATTATGATGGTAATTGACCAGGTGAGCCTGGAATACTTGAATTATGCCTTACCAAATATGCTGAGATGCCCTCAGGACAGCTCTACCCATAAATGTAATAGCAAATTGTAAATCAAAGGCTTTATTAGCTGGTCAAATCCCTGATACTCTAATAGAGAGTTTTATGCTAAGGTTCTGTGAAGCATGAGACCCCGAGCAAGGTCTCATGTTCCCACTTTTACTGCTAGCCAGCTGTAAATCCTGAAGGATTAGAACTTCCAAGCATATGAAGTGTGGGAAGAAGAAAGATGACAGGGGGAGTCAAGATGGCAGAGTAGGAGGACACAGAGTTCACGTCTCCTCACAACTAGGGCACCTACCAGGCACTGGTGGGGGACCTTGGACACCTAAGGGGATAGGAGGAACCCCCGCACGACTGGGTAGGACTCGGGAGGGAGGGGAGGAGGAGAAGTGGAGGTGGGACAGGGCCGGCACCCCTGAGGGGTGAATGGGGGAGGGAAGGGGTTCCCACGCTCAGAGGGGCCCACTTACAGCAAGAGAATTAGCGGAGATGGGGATAGACTTTTGGGGGATTGGAGGATGGGAAAGGAACGGGTCCAGCATTTCCCCCCATGCAGTTGGGCCCCAAGGAGCCTGCTGGAGAGCCAGGCCTGAACCTCCACCCTCTGAGGCCACCTCCAGGCACGCTGAGCCTAAGCCCTGCCCCTGCCACCCCTCTCAAGACTTGCATGGGTCCTGAGCATAAGCTCCGCCCCCTAAGCCCCGCCCCCGCCTAAGCCCCTCCCCACTCCCCCAGCCAAAGACTTTTCTGGACCCTCTTTCTTTTTTTTTTTTTGCTGCTGTGGTTTTGTTTTGCCTTGTTGTTGTATCATTTATTTTTTTTCCTAATGTATTTTTTACTCTTCTAATTTAATTTTATTTTTTATTCTTTGTTATTCTGCTTTTTTTTTTTTTTTTTGCCGTGCCACACAGCTTATGGATTCTTGGTTCCCAGGACGCCAAGGGTCAGGCCTGAGCTCCCGTGGTGGCAGCACTGAGTCCAAATCGCTGGACTAACAGACAGCCTCAGACCCCAGGGAATATTAATCAGAGTGAGGTCTCCTGGAGGTCCTCATCTCGGCACCAAGACCCGGCTCTACCCAATGGCCTGCAAACTCCAGAGCTGGAAGCCAAAGGCCAAACAACCAGTAAGACAGGAACACAGCCCCACCCATCAAAAAAATGAGATGACAAAAACATATGTTACAGATGAAGGAGGGAGGTAAAAACCTATAAGACCAAATAAATGAAGAGGAAATAGGCAACCTACCTGAAAAAGAATTCATCTTTACTGGTGATAGTAAAGATGATCCAAAATCTCAGAAATAGAATGGAGGTACAGATCAAGAAAATACAAGAAATGTTTAACAAGGACCTAGAAGAACTAAAGAACAAAGAAACAAAGATGAACAACACAATAACTGAAATGAAAGATACACTGGAAGGAACCAATAGCAGAATAACTGAGGCAGAAGAACGAGTAAGTGAGCTGGAAGACAGAATGGTGGAAATAACTGCCAAAGAGCAGAATAAAGAAAAAAGAATGAAAAGAATTGAGGACAGTCTCAGAGACCTCAGGGACAACATTAAACACACCAACGTTCGAATCAAAAGGGCCCCAGAAGAAGAAGAGAAAGAGAAAGGGTCTGAGAAAATATTTGAAGAGATTATAGTCAAAAAGTTCCCTAACATGGGAAAGGAAACTACCACCCAAGTCCAGGAAGTGCAAAGAGTCCCATACAGGAGAAACCCTAGGAGGAACACACCAAGACACATATTAATCAAGCTAACAAAAATTAAATAAAAAGAAAAACAATTTAAAGCAGCAAGGGAAAACAAAAAATAACATACAAGGGAATTACCAAAAGGCTATCAGCTGATTTTTCATCAGAAAGTCTGCAGGCCAGAAGGAAGTGGCAGGACATATTTAAAGTGATGAAAGAGAAAAACCTACAACAAAGATCACTCTACCCAGCAAGGATCTCATTCAGGTTCAACGGAAAAATCAAAAGCTTTACAGATAAGCAAAAGCTAAGAGAATTCAGCACCACCAAACCAGCTTTACAACAAATGCTAAAGGAACTTCTCTAGGCGGAAAACACGAGAGAAGAAAAAGACCCACAAAAACAAACCCAAGACAATTAAGAAAATTGCAGTAGGAACATACATATTGATAATTACCTTGAATGTAAATGGATTAAATGCCCCAACCAAGACTCAGACTGGCTGAATGGATACTAAAACAAGATCCATATATGTGCTGTCTACAAGAGACCCACTTCAGATCTAGGGACACATACAGACTGAAAGTGAGGGGATGGAAAAGGATATCCCATGCAAATGGAAATCAAAAGAAAGCTGGAGTAGCAATACTCATATCAGATAAAATAGACTTTAAAATAAAGACTGTTACAAGAGATAATGAAGGACACTACATAATGACCAAGGGCTCAATCCAAGAAGAAGATATAACAATTATAAATATTTATGATTTAAATAAAATAAATATGATTTAAATATCCTCCCAACATAGGAGCACCTCAATACATAAGGCAAATGCTAACAGCCATAAAAGAGGAAGTCAACAGTAACACACAGTAATAGTGGGGGACTTTAACACCCCACTTACACCAATGGACAGATCATCCAGACAGAAAATAAATAAGGAAACACAAGCTTTAAAGGACACAATAGGCCAGATAGATTTGATTGATATTACAGGACATTCCACCTAAAGCGGCAGATTACACTTTCTTCTCAGGTTCACATGGAACATTCTCCAGGGTAGATCACATCTTGGGTCACAAGTCAAGCCTCAAAAATTTAAGAAAATTGAAATCGTATCAAGCATCTTTTCCGACCACAACACTATGAGATTAGAAATCAATTACAGGAAAAAAAAACTGTAAAAAGCACAAATAGATGGAGACTAAATAGTGCACTACTAAATAACCAAGAGATCACTGCAGAAATCACAGAGGAA